TACTATTAGTTTTCTATTATACGCGGATTTCCAATCAATTTACTTACTTAGCATATTCGTTCGTGTGAATTAAGTGCCGGTGCATACAAGAAGCTAGTGCATCGAATTCAAGTACACAACGAACAGCTCAGCTTGGGAGAAAAATCAAACGAGAAGCGTGTCTCATTTCTCGATCAATCTTTTTTTCCTGACATTTTTTACTCGCACGAGAATTCTCTCAAGAATACGAAACTACTTCTTCTTCGGAAAGCAACTGTCCGACAGTAGTATGATTGCGTATCCATTCGAGAGCAAGTCTCAACACGTTTACTCTCCGACAGTCAAGCTCAGGGGCAGTGTCCACTCGCGAGAGATACTCTCGAGAGCAACTCGCGATAGTTTTACTTTCAAAATGGCACGTAGCTTCGTACTTACTTCCATATAATAGAGACAACGATTGTAGCTCGAGTTTTTTACGTTCGGCTCGAATTTCTTATGTTTTGCTCGAGTTACTTATGTTTCACTGGCAAAAAACATCACGAGCCTCGCGCAATGTTTTGGTACGTGAGGTTGACTAGGCCCAGGTTACGTACTTGAGAGTCACTCACACGCCTAGGATTTTTCCTAGAACTGCTTCGTGTAACAGGGAGCAGAAATCTGGTAGATCGTCACGTACGCAGTTAGTGCTTACGGGCCTACCGAACGAGTGCGTCGACGAACGATGTTTGTAACATGCTATCGTAGTCTCGTCGAAAATTTAGTGCTCCCTCGAATAAAGCGGTCTTTTTACCGTGATCGGTGTGCATCCACCGAGTTGTAACATGCTATCGTAGTCTCGTCGAAAATTTAGTGCTCCCTCGAATAAAGCGGTCTTTTTACCGTGATCGGTGTGCATCCACCGAGCGGCGTTGGGAGCAGCGACCGCGCATGCGTCGAGCGAAAAACAGTATGGCGTATTGTATTGTATTAAGACCGTGTGCGTGGCGTTCGTTCTCGGTTTTGCCAATAAAAGTAATATGAAATCAGAGAATTCTTTTCCCGTTAACTCTTTTCTGTGCGCGAACAGACAGCTAGCTTTATGTTTGGCTCGATGTACATACGTACAGCGACCCAGGCTCGCGTTTCTTATGTTTTGCTCGCAAGAAATATCACGAGTTCTAAGAAGTTCAGGCCTAGAATTTTTCCTAGAACAACTGCGTGCAAATAGCGATGAGAAATCAGGCAGGACGACTCGTCCTCAGTCGACGTTTACGAGGCTGTCGAACGAGTGCCTCGACGAACGACGAACGTCGCTTACACTGCGCGATTATAGTCTTGTAGGGAATACATCGAGCAACGCGTTTCCGATTATACGCGGATTTCCAATCAATTTACGTACTTAGCATATTCGTTCGTGTGAATTAAGTGCCGCTGCATACAAGAAGCTAGTGCATCGAATTCAAGTACACAACGAACAGCTCAGCTTGGGAGAAAAATCAAACGAGAACCGTGTCTCTGCGAGATACACAGCTACAGTTTCATGGTATGTGTATGCGTGAATAATATGTATGTATATATACGTACACAATCGAATGATTGAGTTAATTGAAAATAGAGGAGAGCCTACGTATAGCTAATTAGATCAATTACTGCAACAATTTCGTTTTATCATATCCTAAGTTTATTTTTCTTGTAATAAAATGTGTTATAGCTATGAAACAACAACAAATTAGTTTTTTTTACTGTTGTCTCCCCGAGACATATACATATTCTATCCCTTCCTGGAAAAGCACTGTCTCTTAGTAAACAACTAAGTCTTTACACACGACCTACTGCGTTTGTTATTATTCTAACGACACTATACGACGTACATATACATATATGTTTAGACTGATACGTAAGACGATACTTTTTCCTCTGGCTTTCATAGTGGATACACAGTTAAGAAATGCAAATTTTGTTAGAGTTTTACTTTTTTATTGTATCCCTGTCATGACGATTATTTTATTATATTTACCACAATTTATTATAACTTTTATCACTTCGAGAATAAATAACTATTGGTTTCTGATTGCTTCGAATATAAGCAATTCCTTGTTTCGATTAATTTGTCATTAATTATTTTTCATTATTTTTTTCAAACAATCTTTGTAAATAATACTCCATATGAGTTTCTAAGTGATTAATTTACGAACAGACCATCATCCGAAGAAAACGAGACGGAATATAAGTATGGTCATACTCTTACCTTGAACCGCATTTTTCATAATTTTCCCATCATTTCTGGGAGAAATGGCCTTTTTTTTAACATCCTCCTTAACAGTATCATTAAACTATTAGACACTCGCTATTTTAACCCTTTAAATTTTAAATTAAACTGTATATGAATATTTTAACTTACTAAAAACAGTGAAATTGAAAAGGGTAAAAGTGTGAAAAGGGTTTTCAAATGAAAGTCAAGGAAAAATGCTCAGATTTCAAAGGCTTAAACAAAACGAGATAATTTGTCACTTTTTCCGATGATTAAATTAATTTTACACTCATATTTCTTGCGACAGTGAACGTGTTAAGCTGAACCCTCCATCGGAAGCTTCCAATTGTTTACTCTTGGCAGTTTTTTTTTTGCGAATTCTCCCGCTCTCGCTAATCGTGGGTAAAAAACCACACGCATCGCGAGAAACGTTTTCATCATCCGCGAAAATCCGTTCGATTCGGTACGTGATCCGTTGAACAAAAGCACGGACGTGTGTCGCGAATGTTCTGTTGATGCACGCGGTCCTAATGCCAATTTAATTTTTCCCCTCGTACGGACAGTATTTCATCCCTTTTACTCCCCCTCGTTGCCTTTGCCGCAATACTGCGACAGGGTAACGCACGAAACCGATTCGCGGCGAATAAAATGCTGTTAATGCGTTATTTATGCCGGCTGACCTGGATGACGATGGCTGCGGCTAAGAGGGGATTTTTTTCGACCGGCAAAACCGTTCTCCGCGAGAAACGTTCATTGGAAATTTCGAATACGTAATTTTTCTCATTTTTTGCTTTTGAAAAATTTGGTCATGCTGAGGGTGGTTATTTTAGAATTTTTAACGCGAATTGTTTACACTAGCAAAATTATTCTCCATTTATTGGGAATTTCGAATATGTAATTTCTCTCGTTTTTTAGTTTTGAAAAATTTTACAATGTTGACGATGGTTATTTTAGAATTTATAGCGTACTTTTTTGGACTGCTACAAATACTGTTTCGTCGACAATTTAGAATAAATTTGTCTCGTGTTTTCTGGTTTTGAAAAATTTAGCCGCGTTGAAGTTGATTAACTTGGAATTTGTAAAACTATTTTTTAAGCTAGCAAAAGTGTTCTCTATTGTTTTTCTTCGGAATTTGAAATGTGTAATTTATCTCGTCTTTTCTTATTTTCCGAAGATTTGTGAATTGTTATTTTAGAATTTGTGGTGTGATGTGGATAAAGTAATCGAATTGATATTACGATGGAATTACCGTTTAACTGTTGAGTCCAAGATGGCTGACGCTTACGGGCTTACCACCTCAAATATGGCCGCCTTAGTTGATTTCATTTCCATCCTTTTTATTTTCTTATTTTCAAAATGGCTTTCAAAATTCCGTTGGCATACATAACATCGCTCGTCGTAGCTCTTGTAGCATTGTTTTGCACTAATTCCAGGTTTGCGAAACAGCCAGCTAAATGGTTACACACCAAGGTTGGGCCGCGAGAACGAAGTCGATCGAGATCTCTGCAAATGATCTTCAGACACCAAGTTCGACCATATGGAAATCACACGAGCCGATCAAACGTATTTTTAACCTGTTAACTGGTTTCACTTTTCAAACAGAAATTTAATCTCTCTAGTTTATAATTAAAAATTAGTAAAAATGATAATAACCAATTACTTCATTTTGGTATTTACAAATGTAAATTATGATGTATTATACATTTAATAGCAAGCATAACAGTGCAATAAAAAATGAATAATCCCTCAATAAAAAAATTATTGTTTTCCAAGTATTGGCTAACCATTGACGAGTTAACTCGTCTTGTCCAGTTAACAGGTTAACCAGCTGAACTGAATTATATACAGTGTAACATTATGAAGTTTTCTTTAACATGTTTCGTGCTAAGAAAAATTTGAAGTTGTACCACATGAAAGTACCGATGTCAGAATAATTAATAATCAATCGTGATTAGTAAAGTCTGTGTAACTTATACTTTTACTTGTACTATATAGAAATTATTTGAATTCTGTCAGTTATTTCCTCTGTCCCCTTTGCTTATTGAATTATTTCTCCTGATTGTTTAACTCTTTTACGTAAGTAA